CGGCTGATTTTTCGCTGATGGTTGATTTTAAATCGGCCAATCTTCTGGCTGGTTAGCTATTAGCTGCCCCCCGAGTCCCGGCTGATATATGCAACTGATAGTAATTCAGCCAGCCTTGTGGCTGATTAGCCATCATATTTGGTTGAAGCAGAACCATCGGCGGCCACGGCTGTGATGGCTGAGCATTCACTACCGGCTAAAAAACCTATAACGAAATTGGCTGAGTGCCCGATTCCTGATTGTTGGAGCTCCCAGCCTGAGCCGGCCTATTCATAATGGCGGCTAAAAGCTGAGATATTGTTTCGTGCAGGTCGTTTTGACTTGCACTCATTCTTCCAATCGCCTCAAACAGAGAGAACACCTGTGTTTGAACCATTGATACCTTTGATGGTATAGCTAGTTCATCCACAGGCCAATGTAGAGCTACCAACTTAAGCTGGCTGATGTTCTTCTTTCGGATCATCGTCTGTGGCTACAGCGCCACGGCATTGCATATTCTTTTAGAACCAAGTGGGGGTCCCACCGGGCGTGCCAAATTATGTTCGCGTGGTTTTTGTTCACACCGGTCAATGAACTTTGCGAGCATGCCAGAGTATGTGAATACTCAAAATATGATTGAACACCAACTATCCCTTTTAATTGGTGGCTGACTTCAGGCGAATGCGTGAGAGAAAGAATAGTAAGAACTCCCAGGGAGGTTCTTTTTCGGCCTTGTTTGCAAGGACTTTTTACGGTAGTGCTTAAAAGAAATAAAATGTAATAACTAAAGAAATTTGAATGAACTGGCTAAATTGAAATTGACTATAGAGTAAACGGCTGAATTGAAATTGACTTTAAAAGAACTGGCAGAATGAAAATTACATGGACAATAAAGAGTGAAGTGAAATGAACCGTCTGCATTTACATGACAAGAATCTGATCAAAGATTGCCATTTAATTCAATTGAATAGAACAATAATTGATAATGTAAATAGCATAATTAAAGCATTACAAAAAAAGAGTAAGTTACTGGAACTTAGATTCTTTGAATGAAATTTGCCATTTGGACAAAAGAAATAAAGAAATTGATAAGATGACATAGAGTCAATTTAATGAATTTTGATTCATGTTTTGTGGGTGGTGCTGGACCGTTTGGAAAGAATACAAACTTTCCTATTTATAGAATTTTCTCTCAACTTATTTTCCTAACTTTTTGCTAGAAAATCTCAACTACCCTTGATTCCTTCCTTTTTGAAATTAAATTAGGCCAACAAATTGTAACCAAATTTACTCCTTGCGTGACACATGTCATCCCTTATCTTTGACTCCCTTTTACTGAAGCCTTTAGTTGCTATTTTGAAGTAATGTATCAAGCCCATTATACTTCTCTTGCTGACACATTATTACCTTATTTGAATAAGTCAACTTCACACTCCTTAAATATAGCAACTTCTTTGTCAACTTGGCAGCCGTATCTCCATAATTATAGCAGCCCCGGCCCCCGAGTGCAATCCATTTTATTTCTTCACATTTTATATAATGTTGGGGCTTATATGTAATTTTTGAAACTTGTTATTATAAATAGAATGTGGTGGAATGATGAAAGTATTCTTTCATTCTCTCTCTCTTTCCCTATCTCTCTCTCTCTTTCTCTCATCCACTTTCTTCTCTTTTTCTCTCATTCACTTTCTTCACTTTTTCTTCTTAGTCTTTATTAGTTACTCTTGATTTGATTATATCTTAAAGTCAACAATACCACTATGAACAATATATTAACAACATACATACTAGGCAACTTAATGTAGCAATTCCAAATATAGTACTGTATCATGCTATCCATAAGTCCCACAAATCCCATATAACAAATACACCGACAATGGTAGCTCACAAAATCAACTAAGTACTTTAGTTAACAACTAATATTGCAATATAGGGCCCCGCAAAAGCCAAAATTACAAAAAGGCCCAAAAATTAGAAAATATCAGGAAAATAATAACGAGGTTGGCCCAAAATAAAAGATGATATCCAAAGCATCCCAAATTAAATATATAGGTCCTATATATCCTCAAAATAATAAATGCAAAGTGTTGGAAAATTTTCCCGAACACGACCCGGTTTGGTCCCGCTTAACCTAACCCGAAAATAACGAAAAAAGAAAATTGTGAAAATTGTAAAAGGGACAAGTCCTTACACCAGAGTACTTTGTCGAGCCTTACAACATATGTCATGTTAATTTGACCATTCTAGCTATAATTGAAAGTGGTAGGAAATTGAGTCTTGTGATTGGCAAGTTCCTACACAAAACTTGGTTATAATTGAACAAATGTCTATAAGTTAGTATGTCTAGAACAGAAGTCGATGAATACGGAGCAACAATAGAGTGGATTTGAGTCAATGTGTCTAGAACAAACAGTTCAAACTGTTCCTAGTACATTCAGAGTGACACAATTCGCATATTTTTTAAGGCTTTGAATCGTCTGTTCATGTACTACAACAAAATTTTCTAGGACTTTGCTTTTATTAATGTGGACAGTGTTTTCATCTTTAAATCATTTGTGATGCTTTTGGGAAATTTGAATTTATCATTCTTAATCTTGTGTATAGTTGTATACCTCGAATATACTTGGATAAGGAATGCACCCCCATTTTTAGTGCCTTAGTGAACTTAAAGAGAATCTTTGAGCCTTTTTGTATCTAGGAAACTTTCGAAAGATAAAAATACAATATAGCCTAGAATACTCAAAAACTACAAGGATATCAAAACGTAAAAACTATGACTTCTAGATGAATTATAAATCAATCAAATGATGTCTAGCCCACCAATGAATTTTGTCATTCCCAACAAGTTTGGTAAAACAATACTCATGGCAGATGTTCACATATCATCATTATTGTCTCAAAGGAAGATGCTAAAGCATTAACTACTACAAATGAACAACTGTAAAATATAAAGCTCTTATTGCCTCTAAACTTCAAAACTCAAGGTCGGAAATTCTATACCTTAAGGATGATGCATACCATAGGTTGATTAAGAAAGAGAGAATATAAATAAATTTGGAATGCTGAAGGATTCAGGGCTTAGCAGATATTCTTGGGTGTCGTGTAGGCGCTCTCCCAATTTCTTATTTAGGGCTTCCATTGGGAGCGTTGTCGAGGAGGACTTCAGTTTGGGGTCCTGTGGTTTAGCGTTTCGAGAGGAGACTTGTAGGATGGAAGAAGCAATACCTTTCGAAAGGGGGGGAAGATTACTCTTGTGAAGAGCACCCTTCCAAACCTTCCAACTTATTACATGTCTCTCTTCCCGATACCGAAGGCAGGTATTCGAAGATTAAATGAGATCTAGAGGAATTTCTTAGGGTGGCATAGGTGATGAGTTCAAATACCATTTAGTGAATTGGGAGGTGTGCTCCCCTCTTCAAAAGGGGGGCTTGGGCATTCAGAGATTGGATTTGTTCAACAAGGCATTGTTGGGAAAATGGTTTTGGAGATTCGGGATCGAGAGGCCACGCTTATGGAGGAGAGTCATTGCATGCCGGCGTGGGGAGGGGGATTGTGGGAGGTTGTCCAGGGAAGTGAGGTTTCCAGCGGGTATGGGCATTTGGAAGCTTATCCGGAAGGGGTAGGATGAGTTTCCCAAACGTATCTAATTCAGAGTTCGGAGTGGGGAGTCACGTCAGTTTTTGGGAGGATTGCTGGTGTGGGGACATTGTTTTGTCTCGTAGGTTCCCTCAGCTATTCAGGATCTCTTCGAGTAGGCATGCTATGGTTACCAACTGTTATCAGCTTGATAGCGGATGGTTGACTTGGGAAGTGCAATTTCGTAGAGAGTTTCATGATTGGGAGCTCAGGAAGGTTGCTGAGTTCTTAGCCTTGCTTTACAGCCAGGTGGTGTAGGTGGCGGGATGGATGAGATGGTGTCGGTGGGCACTCCAAGAGGGGTGGTCCTTCCTTCCCATGGAAAGCAATTTGGATGTTGAAATCCCCCTTGAAGGTGGCTTTCTTTGTGTGGTGTCCTGCTCACGGAAGTATTCTTACCCTCGACAATCTTAGGAGGAGATGACAGATTGTGGTTAACTGATGATGTATGTTTAAGAAGACGGAGAAAACCGTGAATCACCTTCTTCTGCATTGCCTAGTGACGAGAAATGTTTGGGCTATGTTTTTTATCGTTTTTGGCATGTCTTGGGTTTTCTCAAGATCCACAGTGGATATAATTGAGGCTTGGAAAGGGTATCTAGTGGAAAGCCGAGTCAGAAATGTTTGGAAAGCCATTCCCCTTTGTTTATGGTGGGGCTTGTGGTGTGAGAGGAACAGGAGAACCTTCGAGGGAGAGGAGACTCCTATTTGGTCTCTCAAATACAATATACTGTATTCTTTTTTTTTTTTGGTGTTAATTGGCGTAATTGTAAATCTCTGGGGCATCTTTTGGATTTTGTGGATAGCTCAAAGCTATAGTTGTCGCCTTTTGGCTTCTTGTGTATTCTTTTGGAAGCGCTCCCCTCTTGAGCAGCTTTTATGAAATCTTACTTATCAAAAAAAAAAATTAAAAATTTCCAAGGCGGGACTCATTGAATTTATATACCATTCAATCGAGTATAGTCACTACATTCAGGCCAGATTATATTTTGTGTGTGTTTGCTATTATGGGTGTTTTGAGAATGTTAGTTCACATCTAACGTTTGCTTTAATCTATAGATAATCTCCTTGGTAGAATGCTCTTTTAACTCAGTAGGCTACTTTGATATTGACTTCTTAGTTATGAAGCTTCCCTAAAAAATGTCAGTAACCAGTGAGAACCTAACTTCTGGCAGTATTTTTGCACAAAGTGACTTTCAGAATAATAGTCCTCCATCAACTTCCCTTCTATGCAGCAACACACACTGGGATTTAGATTTAAAACAACCTGATTAGGTTTATTGTGGAGATGCAGCAAACTAATCAAGTTTATTCAATGGTGTAATATCAATCAGCAAATGGACAATGGTAAAATCTTTTGTATAGGGATAAAAGCTCATATCTACCTGTCATGAAGAGCAAACAAAACTCCATCTGAAGAACGAGAAACATCAATCTCAATGCAGTCTACTCGAGAATGGAGAGCAATACGATATGCAGCCATCTGTTGAAAAAATTGGAACATTTTAAGAGTGAAAATATACATGTAAGGAATAAAAATTTAACTCCTTTTTAGGCACAATTTTTTTAACTGTAACGGAGAATTTGAATAGACTAAAAAGACCATGGCCTCACTTGTTGAGAATGTTGTAATAATGGTCACTATTGAAGACCTATAAGCTAATTATTTTTAACACTGTAACAGGTTCTAATGTTCAACAAGGCTGTGTTTCCACTTGTTTCTTAATCATGTGCTGAATGCATAAAATTCATCATCGTAGATGCATCTAAGTTGCATCTAAGTTGAACCATCTTGTTCAGGAGATGGTTCTCTTGGAAGGGGTTGCCCCCCGGATGCCATAGGCAAGACCATAGGTGGCCTTGGTGGCATGGCTGTTGTTGGCAGAGTGTTCACAAGTGGAACACCCTGGACATGAGGAATACTATTGAAGATTTAATGAGGAAACAAGGAGAATTTTTCTCCATTGATCGATTTCTCTAGTAACACCAAATCTTTAATAATAGGAAACAATATCAATTACTGATAAAAAATTCTTCATTGATTCCTCCATTAAATCTTCAATACTCCCCCTCAAGTTGGAGCATGAATGCCCAACTTGCCATTGAGATGACGAGTAACAGCAAATGTGAATGATGAAGAGAGTTGAGAGAAGACGAAGAGCAATGCTACCGAACAAACCGACAACCCAAATAAGTCAACAAAAAACTGCGGAGACACGGCAAAGGCGAGGACAATGCTACCGAACACACCGATAGCCTAAACAAGTTGATAAAAACTGCCGGAGGCATGGCAAAGGCGAGGACAATGTTACCAAAAACACCAGCAGCCAAAACAAGTTGATTAAAACTGCCAGAGACACGGAAAAAGTGAAGAACATTACTGCCGAACAAACCGGTAGCCCAAATAAGTCACAAATCCTCCTTGTTTCCTATTTTCAAATTCTTTCCATTCTCATAATTTCTCCTCCTATATGAAGGAGCCTCCACCATTGTATTGTATGTGAATTGAGAGAGTATTATAAAAGTGAGGGCTCTTTGGGTGTGGATGTAGGCCCTAGTGGCTGAACCACGTAATTAATGTGTGTTCTACTTGTTTTATTTATCTCTTCGCTTTCGTTTTATTCTTTTCAACATGGTATCAGAGCCTAATTTCTCTTTCTAGGTTCGAACTCCTATTTTGGGGTATTCCCTTAGCATCTGAAATGTTGCTAAGGGTTTCTCGGTGCTATTTGTGACTTGTTTGGGCTGTCGGTTTGTTTGGCAGTAATGTTCTTCGCCTTTGCCGCGTCTCCGGCAATTTTTATTGACTTGTTTGAGCTATTGTGTGTTCGGTAGCATTGTCTTCGTCTTTGTCGTGTCTCCAGCAGTTTTTATCGACTTGTTTTGGCTGTCAGTGTGTTTGGTGCATTGTCCACGCCTTTGTCGTTTCTCCAACAATTTTTTGCTGACTTGTTTGGGCTGTCGGTATGTTCGGTAGCATTTTTCTTCATCTTCTCTCTTCATCATTCACACTTGTTACTCATCATCTCAATGGTGGGCATTCATGCTCCAACTTGAGGGGGAGAATTGAAGATTTAATGGAAGAATTAGTGGAGGAAAATCTTTCAGTAATTGATGTTGTTTCTTATTATTGAAGATTTGGTGTTACTAGATGAATCAGTGGAGAAAAATCCTCCTTATTTCCCACTTTCTAATTCTTTCCATTCTCATAATTTCTTCTCCTATATAAAAGAGCCTCCACCATTGTATTGTATATGAATTGAGAGAGTATTATAAAAGTGATATAGCCCTTTGGGCTCTTTGTGCAGTGGATGTAGGCCCTAGTGGCTGAACCACGTAATTAATACTTGTTTTATTTACAAAAAAGAAAAAAACAAAAAAAAAAAAATTCTTCATTGATTCCTCCATTAAATCTTCAATAAATACGTTATGAAAACGGCTGACTTAGCGGCTGACTAGAATGATCATGCCAAACTTGTTGTGGAGATGTGGGTTTTGAACTTGCTGAGTGATTGGCATGGGTGCTGAAAGTGGAAGTAGCACCTGTGCCACTTGAGGAGCCTGAGTTGTGCTTGAAAATGAGCCTGAGTTGATTCTTCCATCTACACATGTTAAACATGTGTATAAAGGGAAATGGTCTGAGGAGACATTGTTGGTTGTTTACAGCCTGAGGAGACATGATTGGTTGTTTATGGTCTGAGGAGACATTGTTAATTGTTTATGGTCTGAGGAGACATTTTGATTTGTTGGTCGGCACTTCACCTAAGAGAAAATCATTGCTAGTCAGATATGCACTCCATTTGTCACAATCTCTCAGCAGCTTGCAGACATTTTTACAAAGGGCGTTAGCGAGATTGTGTTTGAGAATGCATTGTCCAAATTGGGCATTTTAGATATCCAGGCACCAACTTGAGTGTAAGCAAATATGACAGCCACAATTTATGGAATGACTTACCGTATTAGCATATTTGATTATGCTATAGAATATGCTGTGATTTGATTTAGATTTGATTTAATTTCCTTTCTCTTTTTATCTATAAATACTAGAGCTATGAATGAGTGAATATCTCATTCAAACCTTTACAAAATTCTCTCATTTTTCTTCTTTTTATATTTCTACTTCCCCAAATAGAATTATTTATGTTCATCATACTGAAAAAGAAAGAATAAAAGAGAAATTAAGAAGAATAAAAAAAATAAAAAATAAAAAAGAGGAAATTTTGGAAATTTTAAATAATACCTTTGAAATTCAGAGATCGTCTCTAAATTTGACGTTCGTTTCTTTGTTTTTTATTTTATTTTTTTAATGTAATTAGGCTAAAGAGTTGGACTTTATTTTTAAAATTATTAAATTTATTAGTCCAAAATTAATTGGAGGCCAGATAAATTTGGAAAAAGAACAAAATAACATATTTTAGTAGAATCGGTAGAATCATAAGATTCTATGAGATTCTTCAATCCTACTCCCGATTTTACAGATCCTACTGAGATTTTACTTCTCTGAGATTTTACTTCTCAGATATTTTACATGGGATCGAAATCGTTTTGGCAATTTAGGATCGTAGAATCGTAAGATTCTAAAATCCAGAATCGAGATTTTAACAACTATGGTAACGACTCACTCCATTACATGATATGATGTTATCCGCTTTGGGCCCGAGCCCGCACGGTTTTGCTCTCGGGCTTTACCCCAAAAGGCCTCCTACCAATTGGAGTGACACACCTACATATATAGCACTTCCCTTTTTCACACCCAGGCGATATGGGATTGTGCACCTGTAACTCGCCTAGTATGGTAGCCTATCAGTGCCTCTTGCACCCGCCCACGACACACCCACCCACCAGTGCCTCTTGAGCTTTGAGTTCCATAATCATATGGCTTTATTTGATTTCAAATTCATCATAGAATTTAAATCTTCTTGCAAAACCCTTTGAAGTTCAAAGCCTTTGATCTTGAATTACCTGAGTCAATCAAATCATCCTGATGATAAACACCCTCAAGTATAATATAAAATACATACAATAGTAGTTTGTTGTCATTAAAATCACCCAAATACCCTTAGGATGAAAGACTTCATAACAACGGCCTGAGTAGTTTGTAGCTTTGGCTTATTTATTTCTTGAGTCATGTAAGTAGTGCAATACTTCTAAACTAAAGTCAACTACAACTAGGTTGGTGAAGGAATGCTTTTTGATCTTAGGGCTAGTTTGGTGCGGTGGAATGGAATACAAAGAAAGTGGAATGGAATAGTTTTTATTCCATTCTTATGTTTGGTGCCAAATTTTAAACTTGGAATCGTCATTCTCCACCATTCTTGGAGAATGGTCATTCCATCAAAATCATTCCACCTTCTCACAAAAGGAATGACCATTCCATTCCAACTTTAAAAAAATACAAACTAAAAAAATATTAAAAAATAAAACCTAACAAATTACAAACCCACCACCAGCATCATCATCATCTCCTCTATCAAACCCACCGCCGGCGTCATCATCTCCTCTATCGACAGTGAAACATACAAGAACACCCAACCCAACCCAACCCAACCTAACCCATCTATTGCAGCCCAGAAGTCCTCTTATCATACAGAGATTATATTCGTTAAAACAGAAGTGTATACTGCCTATTGTGAATGATTGACATCCAGTAATATATTTAGTTTAGAACTTAAAAACTATCTGTGCTCACCATCAATTCACCACCATCTTGCCGACGATTCAAAAGCTCAATTTAGACCCACCTCGGCGATAAGTTCAGCACCGCCGTCCTTCTCGATCGTCGTCAGTCTCACCATTACTCGCCTATTCCGTCCACAGCCCGCTGATTCACCGCCGAACACTACAACTTCATTTGACTGGATTGCAAGCTTCACCGATGAAGTTTGTAACGAAGCTTGGATCACCGCTGTTCGTCGCCGCCGATCAAATCGGATCCGTCCTCGCCCTTGTTTGATCGCTTCCTTCTCCCCATTGCCTTTTCTCGCCCCAATCTCCAACACCTCACTTGCCCGGTTTCTTTCTTCTCTCTACCTTCTCGCTCTATCTCTTGCCCCAATTTCATTCTTATAGACCTCTTTCTTACCACTGGATTGGAAAAAAATTTATGTTAATTTTTTAGTTAATTTTTTTTTATTAATGATAAAGGTAATTTGGAGAAAACAATATAAATTGATTCCATTTCAATTTTTAGTCCAACCAAACAAGTAAATGGAAATCATCATTTTATTTTTACATATTCTATGTTTGCAACCAAACAAGAGAATGGGAATCATTCCCATTCCATTCCATTCTCATTCCATTCCTAGCTTCATTCCCATTCCATTCCATTTCATTCTTGCACACTAAACTAGCTCTTAAAGTACAAAGATAAAAAATCAACTTTGCCAGAGGAATACTCACAATTTGCATGTCATGAATTGATGATCTATACTTTGTTTAGGATGTCTTAGTGCATAATAAAAAGGCCTAAACACTCAAAAAGAACAGCTTTTGTATGTTCCGCATAGAGTGGGTCAATTAGTTGGGATTCTGCGTACCAGAGTCTAGATTACTTTTCTAATGTTGATGAAAATTAACAAGATTAATAAAGTACCAAACTATTGAAACTACACCATATGCCCAAGTCCTTCAAATACTCACATACTCAAATACCGAAATGCATACAACCACCACCACCAAAGCCTTTTTCCCAACTACTTGGGGTCGGCTAGATAAATCCTATCCTCCCGTTCCCCTCTATCAAGGCCATGGTCTCAGCCAAACCAAATGTTATAATATCCTTCCATACCTCTACCCAAGTTAACTTTGGTCTTCTTCCCCTAGTATTACCCTCAATGTAGACTATGTCACTCTTCCTAACTATCGCACCAAAATGCATCACAACCAGAAATTGATAAAGAGGTCACTTATCACATAAATGTGGCAATTCCATTCTCCAAAAAGAAGTGGAAGCAAAATCCATAAAAACAATACTAATAAATAAAAATGGTTTCATATTGCAAAAATATTTCATATTCCAAAAACCTAACATCTATATTAAATATAGCATACAAAATACTGTTGAAGAAAGATTGAAGAAGTAAAAGTACTTTGTTCAATTGAGCAACGTATTAGATGGTGCTATGTATACTCCCTCAAACAAAATCAAACCAAAACTTCATGCACAATCTCAGTTATCATTATTTTTTGAAACTAGCAATCAACTTAATTACAAAGATATACCAAAAAGAGTATTTTTGGAAGTTCTTCACAATAAACTAAGTCTATTAACTATTTATAACTATCTCATAGGGTTCCAATGTGATCATTAGTGAAAAGTGCAGAACTCTTTTGCCTAAGATAACTAAAATTCTCAATTCCAACGAATGGTTGTCATTGATGTCAAAACACCATCCTGACAACACATAGGACAAATTGCTTGAATGTTGCACCTTTTTGTCTTAACCCAACTAAAAGTTGGAAAGAAGCAAGATGGTAATCAGTTAATTATAAGTAAACATTGTGAAATTATAACCCATGAATAGAGAATCTAAAGAATCTAAAAACAAGACCATCAAAGTGAATATGGCATGCATACTGTGTTGGGAAAGGACTTGCTGGAGTCTCCACCATGAGCACATACTAGAGGTGGATTATTCAGCCAACTGCACTCTCTTAATTGCATCTGCACAAACATTGGGCAAGAAATAAATTGATGACTCAAATTTACCTTCCTGACTCTTTAACAAAAAACTACTTGAACTGTGTCTAGCTGAATGAAAATTGAAAAGTCCTTACGTCAAAAATCAAAATATAATAGTAAGTTTCAAGTATGACAACCTGCAAGCTTAATGACAATAAGGAACAAAATAATGCATAAAGCGTGAGTGTGTAAATAAAGTACAGATGAGTTCAGAAACAAAACCAAAAGGAAAACAAAACAAAACAAAAACGAAAATAAAAAAACAAAACTTAAAAAGATATTCCCTCTTACTTCTCAAGTACGTATAGGAAGGGCTCGTTTGGCATAGCTTTTGCTTCTGCTTTTACGCAAAAGAAAAAGAGAAGCAGAAGTTATGACTTCCATTTACCTTATGTGTTAGTGTTTGGAAACTATACTTTAAAAGAGCTTTTTATGCCAGAAGAGCTATTTTATTTGTTCGGCAAAATATTTGTTGAAGCTCTTCTAATACTAAAATAACTATTTTGTTCTTAGATGAATTGTTTTTTGTTTTTGTTTTGAACTATATGACAATAACAAAATAATTATGTTTTTTAATCCAAAAGTCCTCTCCATTTTTCAATTTGAAGGTTCGGAAATACACAAGTATTTGAAGAGACCAATTTCAATTTGAAGGTTCAGAGATACACAAGTATTTGAAGAGACCAATAGGGGGTGAATTGGTTTAATCAAAATTTTAGTTCTGTTTCGCAACTAGTTATGAATCAGAAGAAAAAAAAATATTGATTGACATGGAACAGGGAAACATCTAAAGAGCCTTTAGACTTAAAAAAAAATTACTATGATTGAAAAGAAACACACTTTAGGTTCCTCACCCTTTCCTTCTCTTCACGCTCACAGTGACGATTTTTACAACCTACAGCAAATCAATCACTCACGTAAACAAATACACCAAGCTGTGTCACACACAAGTTGTTTACAGTCATTTGAAGCTCATTTTTCAAGAGACTCAAACAGAGAGAGAGAGAGAAAGAGAAACACCAAACAGAGAGCCAAAGAAGAAAATGAAATTGAAGAGCACTAGTTGCCATTAAAATGACAAACAGAGAGAGAAACACCAAACAGAGAGCCAAAGAAGAAAGACTCAGCACTAGTTGCCATTAATTGCTCTCCTGCTTCTTGCCTAAATATTTTTAAGTTGGAAATTATTTCCATGGCCAATTTCATGATTTTGTCAACTGGAAACCCAAACCCTAACTAGTGAAATTGAACTTTCTGCGTTTAAAAAATTCAGAGCTTCATGGTTATATGCCCCAATTCAAACAAACTCAGCTTGTTGTAGATCACCCTTTTTGCCAAAGGTGGAGCATAAATCACGAACAAGACTGTGATCCAATGAATACACATAATTTTATTGAAAAGGGGTGCTCATGTGCGTATATATGTATTTCAATATATAGCTACAAACATATTCCAGAGATACAGAAAAAGAGGTGAAGATGAAAGAAACCTAATATGAGCGAGATGCCCGTGTCATGAATGTCAGTTGCAGTGAGGGGTAGGAGGAGAACGATGATGTTGTAGGATACAACTGGAACTTTATTTCTTTACTTTGAGTCATGAGGGGTACGCTTGGTAATATGAAAAATTCATTAAATCTCCAAAAAAGCTTCCCGCATCTCTTCCTACAGAAGCAGGGTCATACCAGCTTCATCTAAACGCTCTTTTAGAGCCAAAAGCTCTTCTGCCTAACTCATCCAAACATTCAAAAAATAAGCTTTTTGGCTCTAAAAGCCAAAAGCGGCTTTTTAAAAGCCAATCCAAACAGGGCCAAAGAATTGGATTCTAGAACCAAATGATTAAAAAGAATGATAGTGAACATTCCTCTAATTCTAGAGTCTAGACCCAAATGATAACCAGATAAAGAATGTAGAAAAATCTACCAGAATGACAGAAATACACATTTTCTCATGAAAAATTCCATCAATCGATCTAAAAACACTCCTCCTGACTCTAGGTTTCATGAATCCCAGACTCAGTTTCTTTTATACTTTGATAGTTCTTGTATCATAAATTGAAAATGGATACTCAATGATGATGTATCAAGCACTTCATACAAGTCCAAACTGTTCCCAAGATTTGTATTTTCAAACCAAAAAAAAAAAAAATCAATTCAGAGTAAATCATCTATTCTAGTTTTTAGAAAAGTCCAAATTATTTCTGATCCACTAAACAAATTTTAAGTAAATTTTCCATTATGGTTTGCCAAGTTTAAGTCTAACGTTGGCTTTGTCCTTCTCAAGAAGGCTCCTTCTAAAAAAGTTAGCCTTTTTGCTGCTGGTTGAAATTTCTTTGAGCTAATAAACTACCTTGTCAATGTGCACTCCTGAGAGTTTCAAATGACTCATCCAAAGAGAACTATAAGTAATGTACAAAAAATAAATGAAAAGGAAAAGATGGATCAGGACTCCTACATGTGCTTTGAAGATCACAAATTAGATCACAAATTACATACATGGATTTCCCTCCACCATTAAGCAATAATTTTCAGATGTTATAGATTTTCCAGGACAATTGTTTTGCAATTTAAAATGAAATAACTATAGTTTAAAATTTTAAGAATCATTTTATTTAATTGAGAAAGCATTTTCCTGAATGGTGGATTTTAACTAATAAGGGCAACGACCTTACTTGAACAGGATCTGTTCTATAGGTTTTTTACCTCTGTATCATTGAGTTTTAAGGGGGCAGGACCCCAAGCCTGGTGGATAAACCATGACCGTGTGACTAGAGCTTGATTAGTGGTTCTGTGGTCCATGTGACCACCTGGGCTGTGGAGGATCGTTCTCAAGCTGGGTTGGTTCTAGGTGGGGATGGTCACACATTTGTTTGACAGACTATATAACACAACATCTTGCGTTGGATGCTGTGAGGACGTACGGGGGTATCCTTGTCATGTGGGATAGGAGATGGGTGTCAAAGGTGTCTAGAGAGGTAGGTTTTCTTTGTCATGTGCTTTTGCTACGGAGGAGGGTTGATTTCATTGGGTTTTCTCTATTGTCTATGGCCCGGTAGACAATGGGAAGAGGCATTTGCTCTAGGAGGAGCTCGTCCTAGCAAGGGGGCTTTGGTCTCTTCCGTGGTGTGTGGGTGGTGATTTTAATGTGGTTAGATCCCCATTGGAGAGAACTACAGGAGGGAGGAGATTGTCTCCTGCTATAGAGCAGTTTTCGGAGTTCATTGATAGCCATCATCTTTTTGATCTGCCGTTGGAGGGAGCTGCTTTCACTTGGGCTAGTTGCAAGGATTCTCCTACTCTTTCTCATTTGGGCAGATTTTTTATTTGCAGGGATTGGGAGGAGAAATTCCCGGATGTGGTTCAGGCAGCTCTAGCTAGAACCAACTTCAGATCATATTCCGTCAGTTCTGGACTGTGGTGGGCTGAGATCTCGGAACACTCCTTACAGATTTGAAAATATGTGGCTTAGGGCAGAGGATTTCGAGGGAGAGTTCAGGCTTTGTGGGAGGAGGCTGCAGGGGTTGGCACCTCAAGTTTTGTCTTGGCAGGGAAGCTCCAGCACTTCAAGACACCAGTACTTGAAGACTCAGATCAAAAGGTGGAATTAAAAGGTGTTTGGGAACCTTGAGTGGAGGAAGAATAGGGCTGGCTCTCTCACAGATCGCAGAGATTGACCGGTTGGAAAGGTTGGGCAGTATTGTTTCAGAGGGTCGGAGAGCGGAGTGTCAGGCTAAGATAGCGAAGATTGCCATTTCGGAAGAGATTTTATGGCGTAAAAAATCACGGGCTTTGTGTCTCAAGGAGGGCGATGGCAATGCAAGGTTTTTCCATAGGCTTGCTAATGCAAATCGGAGGGACAATCGCATTGGTTGGATTTGTGTGGACGGGTTGTGTAGGGAGGAGGAGGTGTATAGGGGGATCGCATCCTACTACCAGAGACTTTACACAGAGACTACAGTGGTCGGCTTCATTTTGATTCGATTATTTTTCAGAGTTGGATAGGGATGGGTTGGAGAGTCCTTTTACAGAAGAGGAAGTGTTGGGGGCGCTGAAGAGTTGTAATGGGGATAAAGCTCCAGATCCAGACGGCTTCACTATGAGATTCCTTCTAGAGAGTTGAGAGGTTGTTTACTTAACAAAAAAAAAAAAAAAAAGAGTTGGGAGGTTGTTAAGGGTGAGGTGATGGGCTTTTCAGGATTTCCATCCCTAGGGCAGTTTGAGAGATCCCTGAATGCATCTTTTACTGCACCTTATCCCTAAGAAGGGCGGAGCTTCAGATGTTAGGGACTTTAGACCTATTAGTTTGGTGGGGTGTATTTACAAACTAATAGCTAAGGTCCATTGAGATTGAGGGGTGTGTTGGACGGGGTTATTTCTCAGTCTCAGAATGCTTTTATTGGTGGCCATCAGATCCTTGGTTCACCTTTATTGCCATTGAGTGCATGGATTCTAGGATGAGTAGTGTGTCCCAGGTCCTATGTAAGCTCGATATTGAGAAAGCTTACGATCATGTTAGTTGGACTTTCCTACTCTATCTGTTGGAGGCTTCGGGAGAGATGGAAGAGGTGAATCGAGTCCTAAATTTCTTTTGTGAGATTCTCACTTCTGGTGAATGGATCTCCGACTGGTTTCTTTAGCACCTCACGGGCTTTGAGTCAGTGGGACCCCCGTTCTCCCTTCTTGTTCATTATTGTCATGGAGGCTCTTAGTCATCTGCTGGGGAGGACTGTGGAGCCAGGATTTATCAGGTGTTTCATGGTGGGCAGAGATGCAACTCATCAGTTGGAGATTTCTCATTTGCTGTTTGCAGATGACACTCCAGTTTTTTGTGATGCCGAGGTGTCCAGTTGAGGTATTTGAGGTGTGTTTTGGTCTGTTTCGAGGCAATCTCTGGCCTGAAAATCTGATGCAAATCATTAATGATGTTTTGGGAAAGTATCTCGAAGAAAAAAGTCAAGAGAGTCATTCTTGTTTTAGGTAGTAAGTAATTATGCTTTCGAATTACTAAGCATTTACTTAGGAAAGTGGTAAAGTGTTATATATGTTGTGTGGGGATTCAAGAAGTCATTCCAGGAAAAGTCAAGTTTCATTAGTAGTATTATAAAAGAGACAGCCCTCTTTATCATATGTAATCAAGTCTTAATCCATATAATTTTGATACATGATCAGATTTTTTTTTTTTTTTTTTTGAAAAGTTGATACATGATCAGATTTTAAACTTCTCTTCAGGCTTTTCCCAAATTTCCCTTTAGAAATTTAGGCTCCCACGGTGATTGGAGTATTTCTGGTCTTCTTTACTACTGTTAAAGACTTGTGTTCTTTTTGTTTGCTTCAAGTGGTATCAGAACCCTGCTATACGATCCGTGATTATTGCGGATCTATGGCTATGCAAGGAAGCAAGATAGCCACAAAAGAAGATGTTCAAAAACTGCAACATCAAATTTTGTATCAAATATTTTTGACTGAGCACTATATTAGAACAAAATGGAATCATTTCTCCTATGTGGGCGGGTGTGAGTGGGCAGGTGCGAGGCACTGACAAGCTACCACACTGGGCGAGCTATAGGTGTACGATCCCACATCGCCTGGGTGTGGAAAGGGGAAGTGCTATATATAGGTTCAACACCCTTCTATGACACAACGTATTTTAAAGCTGTGATGGTCGTGAGTCAATTAGAACTCCGTAGTTAAGCGTGCTTAACTTGGAGTAGTACCAGGATGGATGTACATATAAGAGTGTATTCCCAATTCTTTAATCAATTGATTTGATTACCAATTTCAGTAATTTTGTCATTTACTAGTGGAAAAAAACAAAAACAAAAACAACAAAAAGGAAAACTCTTCTTGAAGATTATTTTCTGGTTGCTTTGAGGCTTTATGTTTAATTTTATTCAATCACACTACAAGCACCAGTTGAGCAAATGAAATTTTGGGAGAAGATCTAAGGTGTGCCAAGCAGACCAAGTCATGGTATGCCCAACTAATCACAATGCACAAATCAAGGAAATCGGTCCACCAACTTATAGAAACTGCCAACAACTACCTTGAATTGTGCATTGTGATTTGTTAGGCATACTAATGACTTGGTATGCCTGACGCACCCTATATTTACTCAAATTTTGGGACCCAAGTTCAAGCCACGATAATGCCAAACAAAATCTAAAAAGGAAAAAGAAAACAAATAAAGACACACATTTGATTAATCCCATTTGTGCGAAATCCATCTATCAGATAGGTTAATTAATACGCTATGATACCAATTGGTAAAACAAGTGTAAAGGTAGTATCATTCCCCAAGGCTCTAATATGTAATATTTCTACTACCTTTAAAACTAACTGGTAAGATTCATTTAATCAGTTAATTTCCAATTAGTTCTTTGTGAAAATCTGAATATTCAATTTCGATTCAAGTCAAAAATATACTGTAATTAGTAAATCAAATAAAGTAGAGAGAATAAAAGAGACAGTGTTTACATGGAAAACACTTGATCGAGAGTAAAAAATTGGGGACCTCATCCGATAAAGGCACAATCCACTATTGAGAAGGAGATGTACAAAGTACAAACAGGTCACAATTCTATCACCCTTGAACTCCTAGTTATCTCTAGACACAGTAAGAACACCAAATCCTCAGATCTTCGAAGATCTTTAGGTCGTCTTTCTAATCTGTCTACAGCATCTGCTACTCATGAATCTACTTCTCTAGTGACCGCTTGCCGTTTCTGTGCCATAATGGTTTGGTTGATCACATTGAAACTGATCAAACAGCTCCTTGGTTGTCAGAAATAGTCAATTTATCAGGAATCTCTCTAAGAGTAGTAAATGAACAAATAATCTCACTTTAGATTTTCTCTCAAAAACTCTCTTAATGTTTGTCTCTATTAACCATACCCTTAATCTAACTAAAATCTTTGTTTATAGCCAATATGAGAGTCCAAAACATTTTAGATCGTAAAAACCAACTAAAATGTTTCTTTAAAGATTCAACAGGTTTGATCGAAATTACTAGTGTATTGTCGACCGATTGAGGTTTTGAGTGACACTTACTGCAATTTTGCTAATTATCCTGGGTAACCTCTCGACCATCAAGACTTCCTCAAAGGGTGTCGATCGATTGACACCTGCTGTTTTCGAAATTTAAATCTAATTTTGGAAATCATCATTTTAGCTAATTTTGAAAAATCATTTAATCAAAAACCTTTTTCAGAACATTTTAAAACTCCAATACAAGAATGAAATAGGTTAACTAAGGTCAACTCAAGTCTAATTACCTTTAACCTAATTGTGTGATTGAACATTCATTTTATTTTATTTTTGATAAGGATAAAATAGAAAGCCTTCAAAAGTGGAACGCATCCCAAGAATACAGAGAGGCCAAAGCAAAGAGGGATCCTAAGGACCCAAGGAGCCCAAAAAATCTACAATCTCCTTTATAGATGTACAATTTCTTCCATCCCCCAACAAAAAAGAAAACTTGCAATTGAACATCCATAATCCTTTCCAGTCTCCACTGACGTGCTTGATCAACTCCACGACACTTTCACACTTTTTACAAGTATTTTTTGACGAGGAATATGCCAACACGTGACTCAATTTCTTAACACTATCAATCTTAGTATCCTTGGCTTTAGCATTTACTCTGGCCACATAAAATGATGTTTTATTAGATAGAAGAAGCAGGTCTAGTTCTATGATTAAGGGGTCTAGCATTGCATTCCCGCTGAATATACTAGACAAAGTTTTTAGGATCCTTTTTTTTAACAATAGGCGATTTCAAGATTGAAAGGAATCTGTATATGGCCTTTCTTTGAATGGTTTACAATGCTTTAGTTAAATAGGAAATACAAGGGGCTAAAAAAAGGAAACTACAAGCTGACTACAGGCTGTAACAGCAAACTACAGGCTGTAATTATAAACTGTATACTAACAGAAGCTACAGGCTGTACATTAATAGAAGCTACAGGTTGTACACTAAAATATCCCCTAAAATCTGGTCATTGACTATCTATATTTACACGCCTATCATATCCCCTAAAATCTGGTCTTATTAAAACCGAATATCTCTTTTTCAACACTCCCCCTCAAGCTGGCTTGTAGATGTCTTCCATAGCTAGCTTGCTTCTTAAAACTTCAAACTGTCTCTTGTGTAGTCCTTTGGTAAGGATGTCTACAGCTTGTTCAGTAGTAAAGACATAAGGAATGCAAATCATACCACAGTCAAGCTTTTCCTTGATAAAGTGTTTGTCAACTTCCACATGTTTGGTTCTGTCGTGGAGGACTGGATTATGAGCAATTGAAATGGCAGCTTTGTTGTCACAGTAGACTCTCATTGGAGGAGAAACAGTAACCTTCAAATCTTCAAGGAGTGTTTTTAACCATATAGCTTCGCAAATCCCATGGGCGAGTGCTCTGAACTCGGCTTCTGCACTACTCCTCGCTACTACATTTTGTTTCTTGCTTCGCCACGTGACTAAGTTTCCTCTAACGAAGGTGCAATATCCTGAGGTAGATCGTCTATCAACTATACTGCCTGCCCAATCAGCATCTGTGTACACCTCCACTTGCAAATGACCTTGTTTCTTGAACATAAGTCCTTTACCTGGTGAGCCCTTTAAGTACCTCAGAATCTTGTACACTGCTTCAAAGTGTTCCTCTCCAGGAGAGTGCATGAACTGACTCACCATACTGACTGCAAATGCTATATCTGGGCGTGTGTGAGATAAGTAAATTAGTCTTCCCACCAATCTCTGATATCTTTCACGATCAACCATATTCTCGGGTTCGGCAACTTCTAACTTCAGGTTAACTTCAATTGGAGTGTCAGCAGCGTTACACCCGAGTAGTACATATTTTCGTTGATTCACGAAAATTCCTTCTCTTGACCTAGCAAATTCCATTCCAAGGAAGTATTTTAATGCTCCCAGATCTTTGACTTCAAAATCTTTAGCAAGTTTCTTCTTCAGTCCGGTCAACTCTTCAATGTCATCACCTGTCAAAATAATATCATCCACATACACAATTAAAACGGCAATTTTCCTTTCCTCACCGTGTTTGTAGAATATGGTATGGTCTGCCTGACTCTGATGATACCCATGACTCTTCACAGCCTTTCCAAAGCGTTTAAACCACGCTCTTGGAGACTGTTTCAAACCGTACAGGGATTTTTTGAGTTTACAAACTTTGCTCTGACTGTGTTTTCCTTCGAACCAAGGTGGCAAGCTCATAAACACTTCTTCTTCCAAGTCTCCATTTAAAAAGGCATTTTTTATGTCCAATTGATGTAATGGCCAGTTAAAATTGACTGCCAACGACAATAAGACTCGGATAGAGTTTATTTTTGCTACAGGAGCAAACGTCTCTTGGTAATCAATGCCGTACGTTTGCGTAAAACCTTTCGCCACAAGTCTTGCCTTGTACCTTTCCACACTACCATCAGCTTTACACTTAATAGTGAAAACCCATTTACACCCAACAGTTTTCTTTCCTTTGGGCAAGTCAACTATCTCCCACGTTCCACTCCTTTTAAGAGCATTCATCTCCTCTAACACTGCTGATTTCCAATTCGGATCATCTAGTGCTTCCTAAATGTTTCTTGGAACAAATAAGTGAGAAATATTTGAAGTAAAGGCCCTATATTTATGGGAAAGTTTATCATAAGATAAGTATTTGGTAATGGGATGCTGGGTACAGGTTCAGATTCCTTTTCTAACAGCTATAGAGATATCAAGGTCTACAGGAACTTGGCTAGGTGACTCTGCACGATCAAAAATAGTAGGGACAACTGTAGACAAGTTAGGATTTAGAGTACCTTGACTGTTCAGGGAGTCATTGCTCAGGACCTCTGATTGGCCTTACTCAGGTATTTTGCCTCTCACTTCATCAAACTCAACATTGAGTCCAATGAGAAACTTGAAGATGCGGTTGTCTTCCACCTTCTTTTTGTAATGGTTGCAATCTTCAGGTGATTTCCACTCATAATCGCTGAACAAATCAAGGTCCTACCACAAACGTTTCAGAGAGTTGAAATATTTTGTAACACTGTTATCTCCTTGACGGATCTCTCCGAGTTTCAGCGTTGGTTCATAGACTTGAGACTGATTTCCCAGGTCTGAATACATTTGGTTGACATTGTCCCAGAGTTCTTTTGCTGTGTGGTAACACATATAATTAGAACTGATGTCCTCCTCCATAGAATTCACCAACCAAGTCATCACCATCGAATTCTCTGCATCCCAGGTCGAGTAGGATGGATCTTCAGGTTTTGGTTCCTTCTTTTCTCCTGTTAGGTAGCCGATTTTGCCTCTGCCTCGGATATACATCCGCACGAACTGGGACCAGCGAAGGAAGTTTTCACCATTTAGCCGAATTGTGGTAATCTAGACCGAGTGTGTCTGAGAGTTTTGGACTTGGGACTCAAAGGTCTTGGTCTTGGACTCAAGTATGTCATCAGACATGGTGATTAGGGTTGTTTGGAAGAGAGAAAAAAAAAAAAAAGACGGCTAGGGGTTTTTTTTTTCAGAAGAATCGGTAAAATGCTCTGATACCAAATAGATGATTTCAAGATTGAAAGGAATCTGTATATTGCCTTACTTTGAATGGTTTACAATGCTTTAGTTAAATAGGAAATACAAGGGGCTAAAAAAAGGAAACTACAAGCTGACTACAGGCTGTAACAGCAAACTACAGGATGTAATTACAGGCTGTATACTAACAGAAGCTACAGACTGTACATTAATAGAAGCTACAGGTTGTACACTAAAATATCCCCTAAAATCTAGTCATTGACTATCTATATTTACACGCCTATCATATCCCCTAAAATCTGGTCTTATTAAAATCGAATATCTCTTTTTCAACATTAACCTCTTTCCCTTAAGAACCCTCTGAAGTGAAAAGAAAAAATTAGATCAGGCCTGGGGGGAAAGAGAAACATCTTCCCGCATTTAGCAAGAACAAAGAGCCAAATAAATGAGGAGTAACAAGAGAATAAGAGATGAAGCTGCAGCAGATTTGCAAAGAGGGAATTGGTTGGCCACACAAGCATTGAGATTTGAACTCTATTCCTTGTAGATAGCTTCCATTGAATGGCTAATTAGAGTATGGAACTATACATGGGGCCATGCTTGGAAACCAGACTAAATGGTGCCAAGGGACTGTTTCCTCTCTGGTTCTAAGACACTCCCATGCTGGTTTAGATGTAAAGATTCCATTATAGGATGGAGAGGAGACCATTTGATAGACTCCTCGTGAGAGGTAACATGGACTGCAGGCGTAGCATTACTAAATTCTCTAATCCGGTCATAATTAAGCTCAAGCCACTTCTAGAGAAGCTCAGACATATCTATTGATAGCATCCACCTTAGCTTCTCTCTCTTAAGGAATAAGGTGATTGTAATATGGAGCTAAAAGACATTTTAAGTTATTACTAACAGGAAAAGGTACTTTTCCCACTGTTAATTTTGATATTTGATGTGAGGTCTCACAAGGTCTAGTTTTGAGCATCATTTCTCAAAATAAAGTTATTCCTCTTTAGCAAGTTCACCCTAGGCCATTCCACCCAAATAAAGTTGCCTGAGTCATTCATATAGAAGAGTCCAAACATATTTGGGGACTAGAGCTCTATTCTAATCCACAATTCATGTATGAATTTGAATTCTAATAGGTCTATGTTTGAGTTGTTCATATTGAGAGTGGAGTGATATGTCAAGCATTGATGAAGAAAAGCTACTACAATGGTCATATTCATTAACTTTGTCAAGACGAGGGACAAAAAGGTAAATTTACACCATAGTGCACTCTATCACCATTCTAGGATCATGCATACATGTTTGATCATGTTTCAAAGTTTTGAAAACTTACTTGAACATTAAAACACGTTTTAAAAAATATGCATGTTTTCAAAAATCAGTTTAATGTAAATTTAACCAGTCTGCACTCTTGGATCATCAAGAGGAAGTATAGCCAATGGAGAGGTTTATACAGAGTGTCGATCGATTGTGTTTTTAAGCAACATCAATCGAAGCCATCCAGTTGGATTCGATTGAATAACCTGATCCATCGATGCATTCCAGAATTTTTCAAAATCAAGTTATAGAAGATTTTAACTAGCTAAATCGTAATAACAATCATTTATATAAATTATAATGACTATACAAGTGCGTAAATGATAAAAATTAGCTTTCATAAAATTCAAGTTATAAAATTTCATAATCCATCTCATTCCCAAAACCAACAAACTCTAGAGAGAGAGTATAGAAACCTGGTGAAAGCGCCTGAGTCTGAAATGGAAGAAAATAGGAGGAATGATGGCAATCAAAGCAAGGCTTATAACAAGCAAACGGAACAACTTTCGGGAAGTGAACCCTCTCAATCTCAGCCGCCACAACCCATGCCTCCGCAATTGTTGTTGCTTCCTTTCCCGCCTAAACATCATCGTCTCCGCATACAACCACGCAAAACGCGCACACGGATGCAGCTGAGAGAAATTGGATGACGATGTGAGAAATTGGATCGTTGCACTATTATTTTTGCTGGAAGCGGGTCAGGTTACGATCCGATTGTTTGCACAATTTCTCGGGTTTCGGGCATAAAAACCTGGCAAGTGGAAACCGATTTATTGGAGCTTTTTTTTTTTCCCCCTCAGAATATGCATGATTTTTAATTAAAAATGTTATATATATATATATATATATATATATATATATATATATATATATGCGGGGTCCACAATAAAGTAAACCATGACACCAATTTTGGCGTGAGAAGGAAGATTGTAAGAATGGCTTATAAGGAAACCCTCAGTGTATGCCTATATAAGGCCATGTATGTGTATTACTTGAAGATATATAGAAATAAAAAAGCTTTTCATTCTCTCTCTCTCTCTCTCTGAAAGTTTCTTCTCATTTCTATAATAAATATTACTCTATAGATATATATATACACATATATTTATTACACGTTATCAGCACGAGTTCTATCCATCTGAAATTTGAAGGAAAAGATTTCTCTCCCTCTTCTATCCCAATTATAGATCTATTTTGTGATATAAGTTTTGATAGATTGTTGGGTTGGTTTGTTTTATCGAAGAAAATAGTATTTCTGACTTCAAAGATTATTCTGAAAATGTCAAACTTGACAAAGCTAGAATTCGTGGCCTTGGATATTTCTTGCAAAAATTATTTACAAAACGAAGGCTGTGATTTTCCTTCGGCGCCAGATTAGTAAGGAGCTAAAAACTGAATATCTCACTGAAAGAGATCCACTGTATTTGTGGAACAATTTGAAAGAAAGATATGATCATCAAAAAACAGTTATCCTCCTAAAAGCTCGGGCTAATTGGCAGCAATTGTGGTTGCAAGATTTAAAAACTGTGGCTGAATATAACTCTGCCCTACTTAAAATCAATTCTACATTGAAATTGTGTGGTGATACCATTACTGATGAACTTTTGTTGGAAAAAACATTCACCACATTTCACGCCTCGAATGTGCTCTTACAACAACAATATCGAGAGTGTAGATTTAAAAAATATTCAGAGCAGATATCATGTTTACTTGTGGCAGAGCAAAATAATGAGTTTTTGTTAAGAAACCACCAGTCTCATCCAACTGGATTGACACCGATCTCTGAAACATATGTTGCCTCATCCCATGGTTGTGGACGTGGACGTAGACATGGTCATGGTGGTAGAAATGGGTATAATAATGAATATGGTTGTGGTAAAAATAACTACCACAATAATGAATATAGTCGTAGTAGAAATCCTTCTTATTACCGTGAAGGATATCAATCCCCACATTTTCGCAATCAGAGATCCACACTATATCCCCAAAAGAGATATTATAATGAAATGAAACATGTAAAAGTGAAGGATGTGGCTCAACCTCCCAAGGCACATGATAATACTTGTTATCGGTGTGGCATGACAGGGCATTGGCAAAGCATTTGTCGTACACCTAAGCATCTAGCTGAATTTTACCAAGCCTCAATGAAAGAAAAGGGGAAACAAAAGAAAATGAATTTTATTGATCATGATGAGTCAGTTGACATCACAAATTTGGAAATGAACTTCATTAATCATGATGAGCAAGTTGACGTCACAAATCTGGATGTATCAGATTTTTTTGAGGATCGTGATGGAAAGATAAACTTCCTAATTGGTGATGAAAATGTCCACACCAATTAATCCTATTTTCTTTTCATGTTTTGTCTACTTTGTTTTTGTTTTCCTTATATTAAAGTTTTTCTCTTCCAGTTTGTATTAAAGTTTCTTTTGTTATAAATGTTTCTTTTTTTATAAAGAAATTTGCATGAATAGGAATGGATCTGACTAGTTCCAAAATAAATGGTAAAGACATATGTCTTGCAGATAGTGGAACAACACATACAATCCTTCGAAATTAAAAATATTTTTCTCACCTAACTCTGACAGACACTAGTGTCAGTACAATATCAGGTCCCACCGACTTGATTGAAGGCTCCGGACGACCTAACATTATTTTTTCACATGGAACGAGATTACAAATCAATGATGCCTTATATTCTTCAAGATCTCGGAGAAATCTGTTGAGTTTTAAAGACTTGTGTCGTAATGGGTATCATACTGAGATCACAAATGAAAGAAATGTGGAATATCTCTACATTACTTCTATTACCTCATGTAAGAAGCAAATATTAGAAAAACTCCCTATTTTCTCTTCTGGGTTATACTATACAACCATTAGGACAATTGAGTCCAATGTTGTGATACATAAAAAAATCTTGTAACCCAAAACTTTTTATGCTTTGGCATGATCGACTTGGTCACCCGGAGAGTATAATGATGCGTCGAATTATTGAAAATTCACATGGACACCCACTAAAGGATAAAAAAATTATCTTACCAAATAATCATCTATGCACTATCTGCTCACAAGGTAAGTTGATTATCAGACCGTCCCCTTCAAAAGTCATTGTTGAGTCTCCCCCATTTTTACAACGAATTTACGGGGATATATGTGGGCTGATTCATCCACCTTATGAACCATTTCGCTATTTTATGGTATTAATTGATGCCTCAACATGATTGTCACATGTTTGTCTGCTTTCTACTCGTAATTTTGCATTTGCTAGACTTCTTGCTCAAATCATCAAATTACGGGCACATTTTCCTGATTACCCAATTTGGATCAGGAAAGCTAACTTCGAGCTCTTGAACTTAGAATTAAGAATGATTAAATTTGGATCTGAAATGAAAGAGTTATGACCTTCTGAAGTCAATGCAACAACGCTGACCAAGTAAAAACTGAAATGGGAAGTTCCAGGGAGGATCGGTCGACCGAAATACAACCATCAACTGGCCGAAACTCAACCGTCGGTCGGCCAAACCCCAATCATCAGCCAGCCAAAACAAGGTTTTTCAAGAAAAGCTTACTGGAATGGTCTCGAGGGAAATGTCAGCCAGCTGATAGATCCTCATCAGCCGATCGACACATCTGTTGCAGCTATGAAAAGCTGCGGCAATGTGTGAAAATGGTGCTTGGGCCAATCCTAAGGTTCTACATGCTTTCTACGTGATCCGAACATGTTTCAAAACACTTTCTAGGCCCGTTCAAACATCTAAAACAAGCCAAAGCGAGGAGAAACTCAAAATGACACCTCATAGATGAATTTTTCATGAAAATTCATAAAATCACCCAAAAATAGGTCAAAAGTTGAAACTCAAGGGTTTTGTGAAATGTGGACATGCACGCACGCGTAAAAAGACATTTAAGACGCGTCCCAATGGTCTGTGACCTCAAAATGTCAAGAATGCAAAATATGACCTCTCAACGGCCAAAAATGCCTAAAAACACTATAAATGAAACCAAATGCAAAACCTAGAATGAAATGGTGTTTGGCCTTTGGCCATACCTCAAACATGATCATAGAAACCCTATGAAACAAAAAGAATGGAATTTCCACATTCGATGCGGAAGTTATGAAGCAATGAATCAAGATTTTTCACTATTTTCATATTAAACCTTGAAAACGAAAGTGCATAGAATACATGATACATGTCATTAGCCTCCCGCCTCATTTCATACATGTTGAATACAATGAAAATAGTGTACTTATGTACACATTACATAAATGGAATCAAAGAATACATGTTTGATACATAAGGCTACAAAAATGGCATTTCATACTAACACTTACATGAAATGGAAACTTGAAGCTATAAGTCATCCAAGGAACGACAAGCATCACAAACCAAGTCTTCGTACTTGAAACAACCCCCAATAACTTCAGGGTGAGTAAACAAATTTACTCGTAGAGAATGAGCATGTATCGACTTGATTTCTTTCAGATTTTTAGACTTACATGATACAGTTCAAAAGGGTCATACCACCTAACGTCTACGTCAAGATGAAACTCAGGGAGCATCCTAAGCTACCATAGAGTAAAAGCAACAAGAATCATGATATATCTACATATATGAAACAAGTCAAGATTGGGATAATTCAAAGAACACGACAAGAAGGATGCTTGAGTACAGATGAACATGAATTGCATTTTTAATACAATTAAACAAGGTTTGGAATAATCCGTACAACACGATAAGAAAGTGCTAGAATACAAGTATCACATTATTAATAGAATTGAACAAGGTTTGGAACATACCAATTAATACGACAAGAAGTATACTCAAATAAAAGTTAACACGAATTACATTATCAATGCAATTAGCATAATTGGAGCATTCCAATTAACGCGATAGAAACAATACACGAAATCAAGAGTAAGGCATAATATCTATGCAATTAAACAAGAATGGAACATTCTATGAAACATGAAAAGAGTTATACATGAATCAAGAACAAGGCATAATATCTATGCAAGTAAACAAGATTGGAGCATTTCACATACGCGACAAGTTTAAATCTTCAAGGAATAACAACTTGCAATTTAAAGAGTGAAATCAATCAATGTGGAAACTCGGATATCGCCCGGATTAAAATCGTACTCTTGAGATCACTTTAGGGCTACTAACCCATGGGTACCTTTCCCCTAGTGCGCACTATAGTGTAGGAAGACATTCCCCCGTACTAGAACCAAGCCCTAGCCATGTCAATTCTTGATTGATATCCCAAGTCCCAAAATCAACAAGTTGTGCAAGTCAAGATTGTATCAAATACAAGAAATGCATTAACCACGTTTCATGCATAACCAAGATTTTGGAACACACAAGTCATGCCCTAAGTTCTCAACTATAATGGCATGTGAAATGTCATTAAATCATAGTGTACATCTATATAGACTATAACCAAGATATATAGCATACGAAATCTATTGAAGTAAATATACCATAAGTATAAGATAGATGATTCAATTACTCACTAAACAACACATATGTAATTAAACCATTCGAAGACAAAGATATATGTTCATTAAGTACATTAATGAAACCTAGATACAAGGAGTCACGATGCTTGATAAAAAGGTGAAAGTACATGAAATACAAGTCCAATTCATGAGTTTAACTCGAGTT